ACACACACACACACACACACACACACACACACGCACATACTGATACATTACATGTGCAAATATTTTATTTCAATATAGATGAGAACACGGAGAATGTTACTCGTTTGGAACGTTTCACTTTTCTCGAGAGAGAGAGAGAGAGAAAGATTGTTCGGTCGTTTTTTTTTTTTTCTTTTGCACATTTTTAACCGAATTTCTTTAAACGGGTCAAATAAAGATTTTCTGATAGCATTACCGGCAACCGGTAAAAAAAATCATTTTTTTTTTTTAATTCCAAAATATGAATAATAAATATATCTATCTTCTCTCTGTTCCTCTCTCTCTCTTTCTCTCTCTTTTTATTTGTGGAAAAAAAAAATTAAAAAGAAATGTCCCTTTTTATGGAAGAGATTGTTGTCTGGAAGATATAAGTTGATGAATATATGCATTATATTCAGCAATAGGGATAAGAAAAGAAGGGAGGAGAGAAAGGAAAAAAAAAAAAATTTGATGAAGCAAGAAAGATTGAGAGATTTGTTGTCTGTCAGTTAAATGAGAGATGGATGATGGTTGAAGTGACCTGAAAAGAAATATAATATGAACACTTCCTCTTTCACCTCCTCCTCCTCCTCTTCCTCCTACACTTTCTTCTTCTTCTCATTCTTTACCTTCTCCTCTTTTATTTCGCCCACTTGATCCTCTCTTTCCTCCTCTCATCCATTCTTGCCCAGCCATATTCGTTGGTTGTCATCAAATTTTTTGGGGGCAACAATTCACGTATGAGTTCAATTCCTTGTCCTCTCTCTTCTTTGCTCCATTATAAAAATGCCTCTATTCTGAACTGTTCCCCTTCATGGCTTCTTCTTTTGTATTTGAAGAAAAATTTTAATAATACATTCTTCTTTCCATTCATTCATATTTAATATTAATTTATGCTAATTTTTGTATTTCATTATTGTTTTAATTATTTTATTTATTAATGTCTTCATTTAGCTTAAAATAACTTTCTCCTTCATCTCCTCTTTACATACATATATATATGTATATATATCGAGAATTTTCTAAAAAATTTCATTAAACATTTCATATCTGTACTTTATTGCAATCTTCATTCTTTCTCCATTTCCTATTTGCTTACTACTTACCTATCCATTAAGCAGTGATGAAAAGGAGATGATAGTAATGATGATGATGATGATGATGATGATGATGATGATGATGATGATGATTATGGATGAGTCATTGGAAGGAACGTTCGTTCTGCTATGATTTGCATCATTCGTTTGTTTATCGTTATATTCTCTCTCGACTGGATGGATCAGTTTATTTTGCTCCATTAAATTTGCTTTGGTTCAGCTGTGCATGACTCATCCTTTTGATCATTTTTTTCAATGTTACATAAACAACAACAAAAAGCATTTCGATATCCATTCTATTCCATTCTTATTATTCATCCCGGATCATTCAATTCGGAAATTAAACTTAATACTGGAAATATATTGTTATTGTTTATCCGCTGAAAATGTAACGGTTATATTGGATAAGAGAGAAAAAAAAAATTCCATTAAATTTGTCCTTTTGTTTTTCTTTTATTTTTTGATCATCGATGTTGCACACTTTTTTTCATTTAATATAGAATGTATTGTAAGAATTTTTGCACTTTTAACTTTTGAGGAATATATTGATTAGCAGAATATAATAACCTTTGAGATTCTCGTTTGGAGCAAAATGATGATTTTAAGATAAGTTAATGGAGGTTATAAACTAATTCAGTTTTTTTTTTCCCCCCAACGATCCAATGTTATAAAATATAATTTGAAGTTTGCAATGAATAATTAATTTTTTGAAAAATAGTTTGATAATATTTAGTGAATTTAGCTTACTTTTTGCAGATGTGCAATTCTGTAAATGGTCTGTGATATTTCTGGCAGAACGTGGCATGGCATAGTTTAAAATTTTTGCATAACACACCTCAGATTTTAACGTGAACTATACAAAATTTGGTTAAGATTTGAAATAAATGTTATTGTGGGGTGGTTATTTTGCAACTACCTTATGGTATATTTCATGCGGTATATTTCAATTAATAATATTTTTCATTTCTCGAAAATATGGGCTTTTTGCTTGTTTTGAAGAGAATTCTTAAGATCAAAGGTTAAACAAATAGTTATTTACTCATTTGCAAATACGAAATATTATGTATGTTCATTTAATTTATCCTCGAATATTTCTAGAATGATATATGCAGGACTTATGCAAGAAATTTTTTTTTTTGAGTATTTTATTCCATGGAATAGATCAACTGTCAGATTTTTTTTTTTTTTGTAATGAATGGAATATATGGCTAATTTAATGATGGACGGAAAACATTCAAAAGTAGTTTTTTTTTTTTTGTAGATTTTTCTGAGAGAAACGAAAAAAACGATGGAAAAAGATGAACTGATGGAAGAAGTTGACCTCTGATATTAGTCACTAAACGATCATTCCTTGTATTCATTCTTTCTGATAGTTGGTGATAGTACAAAAAAAAAAAAAAGAATCCTCTTCATCTCCTCTTTTTATTTATTATCTTTCATAGTAAACGATAACTTATAAAATGAACACTAATTGTAATGTCTCTTCTCTTCATATAAACTATTTATTTGAACAAAAGAAAAAAAAGAAAGTAGAATTTTATTTACTAAAATGATCTATTAAATTAAATTTATCTGTCCAGTCTCATCTTTTTCATAGAATGAAACATTGAAATATACATATCATTCGACTTTCCACGTAAGCCAATGCTTTCATGGAGTAATCAGTTCGTTTTTCTAAAACCTCTCCTATTCTTCTATCAATATCTCTCTGTCTCTATGTGTGTATGTGTGTGTGCGTGTGTGTGTGTGTGTGTGTGTGTNNNNGTGTGTGTGTGTGTGTGTGTGTGTGTGTGTTGCTGTTGCACTACAAAAGCTATAGCTTTAAAGCAAGTCTTATTTAAACTTCATCAATATGTTTCTGGATGTGAGCTTTGTACAAACATGTATGTGTACATACTTTGATAATATGATATATATATATATATGTATAAATAGCATGTACGGGTATAGGTTATACGTGTACATGCGCAATAAACTATGCGTAGACACGTGTATACACACGTATATTTTTCTAAAACCTCTCCTCATCTATTAATATCTCTGTCTATATGTGTGTGTGTGTGTGTGTGTGTGTGTGTGTGTG